ACTTCTGACATTCCATCAAAACTGGAAACGAATGAAGCTGGAAGCTTTTGAGCCAATGAAACACTCGCTGAGGCCAAGTTTTCGTGAATTTGCATGTCGTAATTTTCAGCAGTGTGAGAGCACGTTTATGTAGCTATCTATTGCAAAGAGCCAGATCCAATCAACCAACAAAAACACCAAATTTTTTTCACAGTTTTCCCGACCAGTTATCCATCTACTAATCTAGAAACAAGCACAGCAACTCAGTCCCGAAAATAAGATCACGAACCCTATGCTAGACTCGACCGCCTAACTCAGTCGCTTTATGACAACCCATCACCTTTCAGGTCGATACCTCCGGCAGCTAAATTTTGATTCAAAATTCGTTCTGAAACAAAGAATGCAATATATTCCCAATTTGGTAAAGATCAGTTAAAAAACAACTAGCAGCAGGCCTGATTCCCCAAGAGCGGATGGCTGAAAAACGGGAAGATAAAACAAATCGCACTTAAGAAAGAGAGCGAAGGAATAGAATGCTGACTCCCATTACAGCATGAAAAGTCAAAATTTGAGAGTTTAAGATCTAAGCTGTGTAGCCTGTATGGCTCTATCAGTCATCACTTCCTGAAACCAGATATGATATTGCAGCTTAGGATACCGAAAGCCTATTGCAAGATTATTAGGGAGTGAAACAGTTGTTCAATTTTTAGCGTGCCACTTCCACAGCACAGATGTGGGTATGCTCAGTAGAAATGCTATGTAAGTAACTCGATAATGAATTTCAATTCAAATTTTTGTAAATTCCCTTTCACTGGCGGAATAAACACGTAAACTTAGAGTCGTTTGATCCTTTATAATTATCTATGGAATAGGTGAACATTTCACCTCCCAAGGATTTTGTTGTTACCTTATCAAATACGGACCATGCTTATTGAAATTTTCGAAAATTAAAAGTATTATAGGCAGCTTGCTAGAATCTAATTAGGCTTAGCTACTATATATGCTGAACACTGTGCCACCGCCTTGTAGTGCCGTTCCAAGTCCTACAGAAATTAAAATTTATGCTGCAAGCTGTGACGGAGACAAGTGAAAAGTAGACGGATGAGCCAAAGGACCACCTACTAACTGTTCTTCTCACTTTTAAGACGGTAATATGATACAGAATTTCTCTCCGGAAAGACGAAGAATGTGAAAAAAAAACGCCAGAATCTTCAGTAGGATGGCAGCCAGCTGATGCAGCATCAAACACAGCAACACAACGGAAAGCCTATCAGTATTACAGATGGCACGAACATGTGGTGCAGTGCAACAGCATTTGATTAATACTGGGTTAAATTAATAAGTACAGTTTGTAATGCAGAATACAATGAAGGATGATTATGGAAAACAGGGAAAAGCAAAATGAAGCAAGCGAGCAGAGAGGCAAACAGACTTCTTAAAAAGATGAACGCAAGAGTAGAAATAACGGTGAAGCTATAAAACAGATTTTATAGAAAAATTCGAAAAGAGATATACAGAAGACCATGATTTGGAAATTCCATAAAGGAGATGGCTCTGCGGCTCAGCTCTACAGCTACAATGTTGCTGTAGTTCTATAAAAAGTGAGGCGTTTTCAGCGAGGCATTTCGTTTTCAAATCTTTTAAATTTCACGAAACTGCGGACTGAACTGCATTTGTGGCTTGACCTACCTTTAAAGACATTATAAAATACATGGTTAGCAAAAAAGAGAGATTTTTCAATGCAATCCGTTCTGAAATATTTAGAATTAACTTGAGTTTGAGCAGAAGATGATCGGTCAGAATGCATAGAACACTGAAGACTGTGTTCTTGATACTCAGCTTGCATTGTGCGGCAAGTTAAACTCTATTCTTTCTCGAACTATATTAACAGATTGAATTTATAGACCGAAGAATGACTGGAGAGAGGCTAAGAGAAATGCAGACTGTGGTTTCTCGACCTGCACATGGTCTGTAACCAAAATTTTAATTTCTCATTTCGTCAAAAATGAATTATCAAAATGCGTGACAGTATAGATGCGCATGTGCACACAAACGCACAAACACGTCCTTACCATAATGTGTTTTTTGCACAAATCATGCGAAAAAAAATTGCTGAAGTAATCTATCGTGTACGAATGAATATCTGAAGTTACTACCAACAGCCATAAAATGCGTGTTGTTATTTCATGCATGCTAGAAGGATTACAGGAAGCCATTACTCATTTTTCAACTAATCACTGAACAGAGAATATCATCTTGCCAAAACAAGCAAGCACAGCATGCAAAAACAACCATAATTATGGCGGAAAATGAAGTAGCTAGCAGCAGCCAGATGATAAGAGACGACATCAAATATCGCACTACCTCACAACTGCCATTGGTGCTTAAGATGGATGAGCTGGCGTCGCTGCTACAGCTGTAACCGGCGCTTGATGCTGTTGTCATTGCTGCACATGGTCCATCGTGTGCTGTGGAAGATGATGGCCCGGATTGTCCGGAAGTCGGTACTCCCGATGCAACATTAGGCGTCCGTGCGCAATCACCGCTTCGCAAGGCACCACCCATGCGTTTTATAACGGTTACAGCTGATATTGCTGCCTTGTCACACAAAACAGCGATATATTTTGGTGTACATAAATGTTAAATAAATATGATTAGTACCGAGATCCACACAGAGTAGCAGCTACTCCAAGCTTGCAGTGCGAAGGGCCGGAAGTAGGCCGCAGTGAAATTCAGATCGTTGCCAACTGAGGACATTTTACAGGCTTTTTTTGGCATCTTTTCACCGAGCAATCCAAAACATGTAACTTTATGTATTTTTTTACTGTCCATAAAACAGCGACTACGAAATGAATTTACAGGGCAGGAAGTTTTCTTCAGTCCTTTTCACCCATCTCCCCTTCCTGTTGGAATGAAACTGGACCATAAATTGGTTCCTTAAGAATGGCATTAACGTAAAGTGGATTGGCGAAAAGGTTGGGCGGTCGGAGAAAGGAGGGGGATGGGGCGGAGTATGAATGGGAAAGAGGACAGGTAAGGGAATATGTAAAATGATAAAATATCGAAAATGAGAGTAAAAAAACACCAAAAAGATGCTAAAAACACTGCGATGCATAACCGCGATACAAAATGGAAAATTAGTCCAAAGGCTAAATCTAGTAAGGCCCTAGATTTGATCAGGTGATAATTAATGAAAGGGAAGGCGTGAGCGAGGCATTCTAACAAACAGCGTTGTTTTGACAGGTGGACGCCGCCTAAATTAAAGGGCGCTGTCTCGCTTGGTCGCCAAAAGCTTCCCCCAATGGGTAGCAGCGTAAGCGGATAACTTATGCAGACCATATAAATTACGACGATGCCTGTACTGATGTCATGAAACTCCGGTGCTACAAAATAGCAATCATGCGCCGGGTAAAACTACAGCAAGTCTTTTGTTCCTGAGCTATCTCTCTCCAGTCTGTACCCATCATTTCTGCTTCCACAAACACTTCTCATTTTTATGCGTTTTTGTCTATATGCATATTGCAACCCAGGCTGGAACGCACCGGACGGGCCCGTGCGATCATGCGTTTTTGCACAGGACTTGA